GGAGGAAGAGGGGGAAGAGATGTCCCAGTACTGCGCCTTTTGTCTGAAGTATCCATGGCCGATAGATCAGCAACTACCAAACGTACGGCTAATGAACTCAGCTTACAGCCAGACCTGCGACAAGTCACTGGTAAAATCAGCTCGGGGAAGTCAAAGAGATCATAACGAAGTCAGCGGAAGAATCAGCATTCAGGTTTCGGAAGATGCATTTGGGAAAGACTCATCGGAAGAATCAGCATGCAAGCATGGATATGAAGTCAAGGAAAGTCATCCAATGCTTATTCAATCAGTCGGGAAAGTCAGCGCCAGAGCTACCTCTGGGAGACACGGCGCCCATAGGGAATGCCGTTGTGAAGCACACTTGACACATCGTGTCGCAGGTCTGATAAGTCAGTGCATATTGCCGAAAGCTGTCAGGAGAAGTCAGGAGAAGTCAGAACCTGTGATCTAAGGTACTGCCATAGGACGAACGCAAATCACTCGTAAAAGACTGACATGTGCAGACCCTCACTCATGACTGTCGCATTCACAGATAAGCTCTCAAGCTGCCACATGCGTGACCCATGAGCAGCTTTGTGCAGGTACAGGTTCACACGTCTGTGAACCCATCCAGTCAACACCCATAGCTTCGTTGGCGTGGCTAGGATGTGACTGCCACGCCCCCTGCTGCCTAACTCACTCGCGTCTCTTGGAAACAGAGTTGGACACACACACACACACACAGACACACAGACACACACACACACACACACACACACACACACACACACACACACACACACACACACACACACACACACACACACACACACACACACACACACACACACACACACACACACACACACACACACACACACACACACACACACACACACACACACACACACACACACACACCACACACACACACACACACACACCCACACACACACACACCCACACACACCACCCACGCGCGCACCCACGCGCGCACCCACGCTGCACCCACGCGCGCACCACCCACGCGCGCACCCACGCGCGCACCCACGCGCGCACCCACGCGCGCACTCACGCGCGCACCCACGTGCGCGCGCACGCACGCACGCACGCACGCATGCACGCACGCATCCACACGCCCACATCCACACGCCCACATCCACACGCCGACATGCCAGCACGCCCATACTGTACATGCCAGCACGCCAGCACGCCAGCACGCCAGCCAGCCAACACGCCAACACGCCAAGACGCCAAGATGCCAAGATGCCAACACGCCACACCCCCCACGCCCGCGCCCACGCCCACACCCACACCCACCACGCCCACACCCACACGCCCACGCGCACGCGCACCCGCACACCCGCACACCCGCACACGCGCACACGATCGCACACGCCTGCACATGCACACACGCCCACCCGCGCACGCGCACACACGCACACACGCACGCACGCACCCACGCACACACGCACACACGCACACACGCACACGCCCGCACACGCCCGCACATCCATACGCACGACGCACATTCGCACGCGCACAGGCAAGCCCACAACCACACCCACACCAAGATCACTCTATATCATATAATCTAATCTAATCTAATCTAATCTAATATAATATAATATAATATAATATAATATAATATAATAAATATAATATAATATATAGCCTAGGCCACCACCCACCCGCCCCCCGCCTGCCCACCCGCCCCCCCGCCCACCCGGTTGTCAAAGCATCGCCAACATCGTGAGCATGCGATGATAGATTCTCTCATTATGCAGGCGTTACTTTAGCTCGGGAATTGGAACTTGAATTTCGAGCCGTGCAGCTAACACGGATTTGCCAGGCAGAGCAGAAGCTAGGAATCAAGGCCACTGCCTCGGCTGTCTTGAGAGAAAACGGACGTCAGGAGAGTAAAGGCACTGTGGCGCATCTAATCGACCAGTGACAGTTGCGTCTGAGGTGTCGGAGCTACAGGATGGATTTGGTCTTGAGGCTGTGCTCTGAGTTTGTGGGCGCTGCTTCAGCTCAGAAGTCACTACAGGTCAGTGAAGTGAAAGAAGATGGCCAGATTCCCTCCTTGAACAAGGAGACTGGAGACTAACCCGTGGTCATTGCTACGTGCTTCGCGACATCTCGCGACCCAGCAGCTCCAATGCCTCAACAGACCCGGTTGAGGGTGACAGTCCCAACATGCACGAGCAGGGTATGGGTGGTGAGTTTTTTTCGTTATCGCTTCTAAATCTGGGTTTAAGACTTGACAAACCAATGCACATCAACGCACGTGCCGCGACAGCGTGGGAGTTGGACATTACGTCTCAGCTTCACATCCCTTGGGGCCTGGGCATCCCGGCTGACTGCGAAGCTCGAAGGGGGTGGCTGTTAGGAGGGTGCTGAAGGATTACGAGTTACGACAAGCAGGATGCCAAGTGGTATCAGACCACCGCCGCGATGCAGCTTTCGCAAGCCCTGCGACTGGCCAAACGAACCTGGAGTGGAGTGGTTGTTTGCAGACCGAAATGCCCGCTGATAATCGTCCACTTAGTAAGCCTGCATGCATCTCAAGATGCAGGAAAGCTCGCTGATGAATTAGCACATTTAGCACTGGAGGTATAATCAACATGGATTCCAGAAGCATGATGGAGAAAGAAAGCAAGGATGTAAATTTAAGGACCGGATAACCCCACATGTGTAGTTCATCTTTTGGCAAAGATGCTAGAAGTGAAGAGGAGTGATCGAGTAAAGGAGTGTGAGTGAGCGAGGGAGCGAGTGCGCGTGCCAGCGTGAGTGAGTGAGTGCGAGCTGTGCAGCGTGCAGCAAGCAGAACTTCGGCAGCGACATTTTTTTCGACTCCCGCGGCGTGTCATCTGCGGCGCTTCTTAATTGGAGTCGCGCGAGACCTGAAAGATTGCCATTCCATGCTTGCCTTGTGTAGGTTGCCGAGCCTGTGTTGTCCTGCTACAGATTCAAATTTGCATGGAAGGCCTGCAACTTGTTGCGGTGGGTCGACCACGAAGCCACACGCACCACCCACCATGGTGGTGCTCAATTGGCATCTGTGAACCTATAACCGAAACAGAACAAGTCAGAAGTAACGTCATCACACGAAGCTATGCGAAAGGCAGAACTGACATGTGACCTTCTCGCATGAAGCTGATCCGAACACGAAACGGCTGCGGGACTCAGCATGCGTCTGCAGCAAGCTCTCCATGACTAGATCCCGATTACACGCTCTCCAGAGTCCAAATCCACACAGACAGCTTTCAATCCTACACGCAGCATACTATCAATCCTGCACGCGGCCTGTGGCATGGTCTCTCAAGAATCATGTCCAATGGCTGCGGCAAACTCTCCAGAATTCATCTTACACGCACTCCAGAATCGCTCCTACTCGCAGCTTGTGGCTTGGTCTTAGAAGACTCTTGTCAGCTTCCGCACGGTGCTGGCATCCAACAGAACGCTCTGGAGAGGGCGTTTAGTGGCGTTTACAGTCTTCCGGAGGGTGGGGGCCCCCAAGCGCGTGCGGCATCCAACAGAACGTTTTGTGGCGTTTTCAGTCTTCCGGAGGGTGGGGGCATCCAACCGAATGCTCTGAAGAGGGCGTTTAGTGGCGTTTACAGTCTTCCGGAGGGTGGGGGCCCCCACAAGCGCGCGCGGCATCCAACCGAACGCTGTGGAGAGGGCGTTTAGTGGCGATTACAGGCTTCCGGAGGGTGCTGGCCCCCAAGCGCGTGCGGCAACAGAATGCTCAGGAGAGGGCGTCTAGTGGCGTTTACAACAGGGTGTCGCGTGGTGAGTGTTTACAACAGTGTGTCGCGTGGTGAGTGTGATGCACTGTGAGTGATGAGTGACTGCTCAGTGAGGATGAGGAGGAATACAGTGTGAGTGATGTGTGAGTGCTGAGTGAGGATGAGGAGGAATACAGTGTGAGTGATGAGCGAGGATGAGGAGGAAGAGGAGGGAGGAGGAGGAAGGAGGAAGGAAGGAAGGAAGGGATGCGGAACAGCCCTCAAAGTAAGAACCCTGCAAAAAGATGTGGCGAAAACCGCGGCATGTTAGGCATGTTCTATAAACGAGAGTCCGGGGATTGGTTCGGCTGCCATGATGTTATGGCCATTGTAAATGTAAGTAGAGAATGCGTTTTGCCAGGTTCCCCTATTGGGTGCCTTTGTGCAAAACTTCTTGAGAGGTTTTCGGGGTGGAGCGCACAGGGAAGCTGTTGGCAGGAGAGGCCTGGCTCCATAAGCAAGGGTGATCGTATTGTGGCTGTGAACGGCTGCTCAGCTGCAAGTATCTGCAAGTCGCAAGTCTTGCTGATGCCGCCCGCGGGTCGCAAGTTTTGGCCGGTCAGGAAATCAATCGGATTCAAAGCTGCTTTTCAATTCGATTTCCGATCCTGGTGACAAGGACACAAATTTGAGCAGTGTAGACAGGGCATCATGCTGGGTAGAGGGCATGATGCTGGGTAGCTTCATCCGTTCCTTGAAAATAATGCGGTTGATACATTGGACCACTCTCATGAATGCACACAGCACCATCTGCCAGGAACTTGAGATCTTCACATATGCGTGATTCGCCCATGCACATTGTGAACTTTTAGTTGGCATTGTACAGCATTGTACACCTCCCGGCCTTCGCCCGCCGCGTTTCACAGCCCGACTGCTTCAAAATCCTACGACGGATTCTACTTTGCTGACAAATCAGGTTAAGAGCAGAAAGATATGGTTCAGTTTACAAGTTTCCTTGTGTACCACTTCCTTCGGTGCCTGTGCCCGACGAACTTGGAAGTCCAAGAGACTCTGAAGAGACTGGTGCATCTGGGGCAGACTCCCTTGCACGCGACATGGCAGTTTGGTCGGGCAGTGGTTGCTTTGCGAGCCCCTAAAGGGGAGCTGCAACGACAAGGAGGCCTTTTGACCAAGCAAAGAGAGCGAGCAGCGAGCAGCAAGGAAAAGACCAGTTGATGGCCTTCTGTGTTTGACCCCTTCTAAGACCCCTTCTGGCGGCCCTTACAGGGACCCAGTGGACGTTTCTATGGCTGGATTGCCGATCTTCGCGAGGGCAAGGCAAGAGCTGGTTCCACCTTAGAAGTTGGTGAGAAAGATGGCGGATCAGATGAACGTAGTAACAAAGTACCCGGCTCAAGGCGTCGGTGATCCGAATGCCAAGCAACGAGGCGGCTGCTTCCGTACACTAGTTTTGCCTTTGAGCAGGAGCCTTGAACACCGGTGCCCGTTCTCGCAGGCCAATTTCTTTGTTCCTCTAGGCCAGGTTCTGGCTGTTAGCTGGTGGTGTTGGCTAAGTCTAAGTCCGTGGCCGTGGATCGGCCTTGGCTTTGGCTTGCCAGGTCGTTCGGGCCTGCCCATGATTCGGAGGATTGGCAGCTCGCCGGAGGCCAACAGAGAAGAGCAAGTATTAGCAGCTTTAGATTCTTAGCATCTCCACGTTTTGTTCCGGAAGCGCACAGCCTGCAGGTGCTCGTGGGATTCACCGTGGCCGATGGAGCAAGCATCAGCTTTTCCTGGAATCCTGCCCAAATTCATGCAATTCAAGTCGGCTCCTCGCAACGCTTCATTTTTTCTCACTGGCAGTAGAAACTAACTGTGCTCGACGCTAAATCAGGGCATGGTGCAGCTCGCCTTCTGGTGACACTGCTGATGCTGGTGATGATGTGCTGCCGACGGGCGAATGGCGAGAAGTCGCTCTGTCGAAGGATGGGGTCATAGTGGCTCGGACCAGCACATAGTTCGGGCAGTTTGCCTTGGCAACACCCTCAATCGGGATTATACACCGACCAGAAACCACAGTGCTCCTCTTGCGTGGCGTGATCAGAGCGCCGGAGAAGGTCATAGCAGCACAACGGTCCAGTTTTGTTTGTACACGTATGCACTGTCTAGCGAATGGGTTTCATGTCATAAACCAAGTCGACAGGATGTGACAGCGCAGCAGCTTCTAGATTCTAGGGTACCTGCGATTGATGGCAAGATCCGATTCCTGAGCCATAAGGATGCGGTACTGCTGTCGAACGGCACTGTTCTTCGGCGGAGTGCAGATGGCTGGCTAGATCTTGGTCACATGCCTGCGTCGTACTTGACTTTGCTTTGCTCGAAATTTAGCGGAAATGAACAGCCGGGAAGGTGCAAGAAAAACCACAAGTGGTGATGTCAAAACGGGTGGGCAGCGAGCTGCCCAAAACCATGGCAACAGCGCTTTGGTGCTCGTGGAGTATAGTAGATGTAGCAGCAAAGGCTCCACTGTAAAATGTACTGAAGCAGGTGTGACTCTGTGACTGGTGACTGATTACCTCAGCGCATTGCAATACCACAAAAGAAGCGGCACTGGCAAACTGGTGTTTGTTGACGTGCAACTTGTCGCAGCTGGTCTGCATGACACTTCTCCGTTCTTCAGCCTCTACCAGCCCATGAGTTCAAGCAAGTTTCACAAACGTTGTTTTCCATGCGGTTTCGACGCCTGCTGTCGGGCACCGTAGGAAAGCAGGGAGGAGCAACCACCTGCCCCTCGGGTTCTGCTGCGCAACTCATCACATCTCAGGTAGTCTGAACCTAGATCCAGAAGCTCTGAGTGCATCTCTGGCCTTACAGCCTCTTCTGCCACAAGAGCACTTAGTGACTCGGTTGCAAGTGGGCCAACTTTTTCAGAGATTCAGGTTTTTTTCAGTTCTTGCAGGTATCTACCACGCCTCATGGTGCCATCGTCATCGACACTGCAGCTGCCGGCAGCTTGCCGGAGCATTTCCCGCAACCCGAAGATTTGGCTTCGGATACAAAAAAGCCCTCTGACGAAGACCTCGCTACCTGGATCCTTCAACAAGCTGTGTTGCGACAGACCTCAGCTTTAGTGCGGCTGTCCGCCGGAGACTCGCCACAGCCAGTGTTTGTGCATCCCTTTTGCGACGTCGTTGCGAGGCTTGGACCATACAGGCATTTTCGCCCTTGTGATAGTTGTGGGTAGTGTTGGAGGCCGAGGGCAGTGCGGTAACGCCGAGCAGCGAAGGAGTGGAGTGTGGATCAATCCGGAGACAGTACCTTGGACCGGAATGATGGTAATTTTCGGGAATCCGTTCCGTCTTGGTCATCATGAGAAGCTGCGGCTAAGGAAGATGTTGAGGCAGTGTCGGTGCAAGACCTGAAGCCCAAGACTTATAGCCTCTCGCAAGAGCATGAGAGCACGCTGCAGTCGCTTCGGATACACCTTCCCGACAAGATTCAGCTCTACGAGGTTGCCATAGCAACCGCTGCCTGGTAGAACTCATAACTTTATACGCATCTCACGTCTTGCGAAAATGACTTGAGGCCAGACTGTGTATGAGACTTTGACAAAGAACCGAATCAGCGTGTACCAGCACATGGTGAATAAAAGTTCCAAGCGATCATGCATCAAGCACTCAAACACGCGAAAACTTGTACACAAAATTGATATGAAAGCGGCCATAAAGTACTGGTTTCCACCCGCCAATGTGCAGGATGGCAAACATCTCTTAAAGTCTTAAACTTGGCCGGTGCGTGAGCTTGGTGCCGAAGAACTCAGACATACTCCCGTCTCATCGATTACATGTAGCACTCGATTGCAAAGTAGCTTGGTTTAAAGGGAAGTTTAAGTGCTATCATGTTTTAGAAGGAAGGTTGACGAGAAAATGGATTCGCCCGCGCCTTGTTTGTAAACCTGAGGTGTTGTGCACAACGAACAATGACCCGGTGATTGCATCAATGCTTGCCGATCACACACGGTGCTGTGCTGTTCAAAAGCTGCAAGCAGCACAAAAAGACCACCATCAGTCTGCAATTCGATGAGGGAACATGCCAGTGCAAACAGCCAGGCCGTCACCTGCATCATCGAAACTTATCCATCCCGGCAATTCCAACATGTGAATTCGCATCCACATGACCGATTGTGCCCCTGAATGGTTGCTCTGGTGCATGTTGTGGAGCGGTATTGGTATACGGTATGCTTTCGGACCTTGGATGTGATAACACCTGATCACTCTACTTGGGTTGGCCTCCTAGTGCCGGATTCCTGGCCTACTCTCAATGTTGCTGTTCGCAACAGTAGGCTTCACGGCTTCACGAAAAACAAGCGAATCTTTCGGATTCAGTTCTTTAGTAGGTGGAATTTAAGTTAGTTGCTCGTGCAGTCATCGAGTGTTGGTTTGGTTGTGTGCTACGAGGCTGGAATGGAGCTGGTCGCCTGGCAGATGCATGGTGAGCGATGTGTGGCCTTTTTCGCGCATCCTCTTCTTTCTGATTTGGTCGCTCTCCCCGCAGTTCCTTCACTGCGTTTGGGTGCACAGGACTGGATCTCATGCACAGGTCGTCGGATGCCGGGTCTCAGGTTGTGAAGGGCGGCGTGTTCACATGGCTGGGACGGCGTGCTCTCCCGACCAGAGGCGCTGCCATTTATGCGGGTTATGTAGCGGGCTGCAGCGTGCTTAGCAGAATTAGTCATAATGTCATAATGACAGTTCTGTGATTTGGACCAGCTTACAGCAAAAATACTCGACATCGCAGGTCCGAGGCATTTTCGGTGTGCGGTTGCAGCCATGCCTGGGCTTAGCAGTCCCGTTTGACAATAAGTTTGCTACCAGCATGTGCCAGGCACAACGACGAACTCGATTCCTGTCGAAATGATTCTCAGATGTGTGTTCACTGAGAGCTGAAAGGTGCTGCTCTCAACGCTGCAGCAGCTGCTTTGAAGCCGACACTGGAGGGTCACAGGACGGCAAGCACCATGAAGATTCCGCTTGGGGTTGCTTGCACCATGGTGTTGCTGTCGGCGCTGTAGTGTAAACTTTGAACATGCCTTCGAACCTTGACAGGATACGTGCGGCCAACGGCACGAGTGTGCCCGCATATCTCGTGCTTCCGTCAGAAGGCGGGGCTGTGCACAGCCTCTGCAGTCTGCCGTAATGTCACCACGGAGGAGCGGCAGCCTTGGTGGTACGGTTGCATGATGGACCCGATCTTCGCGACAACTGGGGCACGGATAGTTTCGATGCATGGCTCCTCAGTCGAGGGTATGGCATCCTGCAACTTGGCATCGGACATCGATTCGCGATTGCTGTTTGAGGAGCTGGGCATTCCAAGTAAGATGCAACTCACAACCATCAACACATCCCAACAGATGCAAGTGCACACACCGCACAAGCCACGAATAAATCATGCATTGACAGCATCCCTGCGCTGTCGTTTTCCATGTGCGCTGAGGAAGGTGAACTACCGAGGTTCTGCAGGGTTTGGGCAAGTTTGGCGTACCAGCCGTGGATTTGCGGAGGATATCATTCGCGCCATTGAGTGGGCGATGGTCGAGAGAAAAGTATTAGGCGAAGCTCCAGCGGGAGCGCGGCTGCCGGTAGCGCTCGTGGGGAGCTCTTTTGGGGCATATGCTGCGCTGCACACAGCCTCCAGGCTGAGAGACTGGACAGCGTGCGTTGTGGCGATTGCACCACAGCAAGTTGCTCCCGGAGGAGTATGGTCAGAACCATACTTTCCCGATCAAAGGGCGGAGAAGGACAACCTCGAGCCTGCAGGTCTTGCCGGAGACCTGCAAGGTTTGGCTATGATGTTGGTCGAATATGAACGTGATGATGCGAATGGTCCACTTGCTACAAATTTGGTCCCGGTTGGTTGCGACCCTGAAGACTGGCCACGTTCATTGCAATACGTGCAATACGCTGGAGAGCGGAAAGGAGGCGGAGTGGTGCGGCAAAACATGTTGGACTTGTACCGACGCATGGATTCCTTCCTACACGAGCAGCTCCTTCCGCTCGCAGGACGGGACTGACGCGATCATCTCTGTACGTAGTGGTCTAGTGACTGTCTAGCGACTATAGTGACTTCTAGTGACGAGTGTTTTCTGGGCAGGACCACGAGATTTGCGCAAAGAGAACTTCGTCGACGAGGTGCCCTTCCTGTCGGCAGCTCTTTTGCCTGCAACAGTGGGATCCAGTTCGGCCTCGGCAGAGAGCATTGAGATGGGCTTGGAGACCGTGCTGCGAAAGACAAAGGGTGACACGACGGCACACAGTCGCCTGCAGTTTTGCGTTCTTCGGGAGGGCTTCCCGCTTCTAGGTGATGAGATTGCTGATGCGCTCCCCGAGCTACGATCAGCATTTGGTACTCCTGTGGCTTCCGTTGCATTCAACCTTCGGAAGAAGCACGCGTAGCCCAGCCAGTTCTGCTCTCCAGGCTGTTCATGTCATATTTTGCGTGATGTGCAGTTTGCCTAATCTGCACTGCACGTATTAATCGTAGTACTCACAGCCCCAGTAGGCACTGCTTGAATCTGGAGTTGATGCGGTCTTCCTAAGTGGCTAAGGCTGGGGTTGGCTTCTCCGTCGCAGGCAAGGCAGCCAAACAGGTTGGCAAGCGCTTGGAAAACATGCTTCTCGGGCAAAAGGAACTGGGACACGGCAGCATGACAAGTGTCGGTTTCAGCTGTTGGCAAAGCTACAGCACCGAAGCATTGGCTGCGGGAGGGCACCGCAAGTCAATGCAAGTCGAGGTTGGTAGCGCCCGCCTCTCGTGTGGTCGTGCGTGATGATGGACATTTGGCCAGCAAGTTGTGTATCCGCAAGTTTCCTGGCCTTCCTTTGTTTGTGGGCTCCTGTGCTCGCTACTTTGCCAGGATTGATCGAGGTCACCGTGGCTTTTGCTGAAGCACCGCAGAAGCTTCATGTCTTGTTGTCAGAAGTCTGGATGCACATCCGAGCTGAAAACTTGGGATTCACATTGGCATTGCCGCGGCAGCCGAAACGTGGCCAGCGAATCCAAGCATTCGCCCTGCCCAGCGGCACTGCCTTCCATTTCGAGACTCTCAGCTTAAGCAAATGTAAATGGAGCCTGCTGGCTGCGGTATGCAAACTTGTTGCCAGCGCACCGGTGACCTCAACAGTGTCAATTCCAGTGTATGTCCATGCGGTACCAGCCTAGCTTCAACTGCAATTCGGAGCATCTCTACCGATGGTCGCTGAAGCAGAGAATGTCGTGGCATCCCGAAGTGCGAGCGCAGTCGGTCCACCAAGGATCGCAGCGGAGTCAAACGTTGGCGCTGTTGAGAACTTCAACTACTGGGCTGCTCGTGGCAGCAGCTTGCTGGACATGGTGCTGCCGGAGGATCTAGCTGGTGCCGCTGTGCTGGTCCCCACAACCTGAAAAGCAGCCGATCGCTGTTTTTGGTCATGAGCTTTCTCGAGGTCTAGAACCCTGTTCCACGCACGTGGGTGTGGGTGTTTTGGCCTCTAGAATGTTGGGCCCAATTCCATTTTCCACCTGGCCTTGAGGGTGAGGGTCAGGTTTAGGTTTAGCTTTGTTCAATCCTCCTTTTCTGGGTGGGGTCACGTGAGTGTTGGCACGTGCTCTGGCTTTATGCGCAGTGATATGAAGACAACAGTCACGAGGATTCGCGACCTCCAATGACACGTCTCTGTGAGTGTTGGCATCTTTGAAGCATCGGAATGATATCCAAGACCAGACACAACAACCCCCACAGGGATCGCCCCTTTCTTCGGTAGGCAAAGCCATGCGCGGGCGCCACGTGAATCATTTCACCTTGTTCTGGGCTTCGGCAACCACATCATCGTACTCTGGGTTTGAGAAAAGTCGACGACCAACTGATCCAGCGTTGGAGCATGGTTTGATGCCCGTGTTCTTGAATCTGTGCATCGGAGGTGCAGGATAGATGTTGTACAGGGCATCAAAGGGATCCTGTCTTCATGGAAAACCATACGTTGCAGGTGCGGACATTGGACGGATCGTTTGTTGCACGTGCTGATTCACCTTATTGATGGCTCATTCCTATCCATCGCAATCACCTACTGTGAGTTGGACATTGGTCTCATCGCGCTGCACAACTCCATGGTATGCCACTCCCGCCCAGCCCCCCGAAGGGGCACCCCAGGTACCAGTCATCGTTTTCGGTTTTCACCGGCTTCGACGTGCTGGGCAACTTCGCATGTCAAACACGGCCACAATGGCACGAAGTCGCGATCTGCATAGGTACGGGTGAACCCACCAGCCAAACGACAAGTGTCGCTGTCATGATGGCTGCAGCGCTTCTGCACGTGATGAGGGTGGAACGGCACCACCACGTGGTGGAGGCACGGAACACGAATGACAGTACTTGCATTTCCATCGGGGGAATTCGACCCATGCAAAGACAATATCACAGGGGCCGATCGATCACGATACCATGAACCACGCCGCAACAGGACCGGTAGTTCAAGACCAAAGCACAGGGGTGACTGAAGAAACGGAAAGGGGCAGGAAGGCTACAAGGAATGAGGGGACTTCGAAATCGCACAGATGCGAAGACCAGACAGGGGCACCATGCAACAGTTGGGCGGGGGCCCCACAGATGCGGTGGGAAACAAGAAAGCTGGAGGACCAAGAACATCCAAGAACCCAAACAACACCCGCTACAGCTACAGTGGCTACAGCAGGGCGGGGAGGGCTGGGGGAATACCATGATGGGGTTAGATGGGGCTCCCTCAGCAACTAAACTAAAAATCTCATCCCTCGACCAGCCCTTCGCCCCGCGGTGTGGTTTTTGGCAGCGACCCGCGCGGTCCCTGCCTTGTGGCGCGATACCAATACATTAGATCTAAGCACGTGGAGTCGGTGGAGTTACCCATTTTGCAGTATCGCTTTTGCTCCTTGTGGATTGTTGTGGCACGATGGGATCGGGCCGGGCCCGCGATCGTGAAGCCGTTTCTTGGACCCACTCCCCAGTAGGGCGTGCGCGATCGTGGATGTCAAGACCATTCGCCGTCAGCATCTTGCTGCGAAGGTGCTTGCTTTTGGCTCCGAGTCCTTTGTAGCCAGGCGCAGCTGCTCAGCACAACCCCTTTCTAGGCCGTAGGTTCCAGCATGCCGCATGTTTTGCCAGACGAACCTTTTATGCCCTGCGAGTGTCCTGCATAAGTTTGTCAGTGCTTGGCCAGCCGCCCATGGCAACGGCCACAAATGGCAACCAGCTCCAAGGCTGGCTGTGTCACAGTGAACATCACTCGTGAGCGTTTAGTCACCGTTCGCCTGTGCTTCAGGCTGAGATCGAGAGCGAGAAGGCTGAGAAGGCTGAGAAAGCCAAGACAAGGCACGGCTCGGACCGGCACGCTCTCTAAGAGGTGACGAGAAGCGCGCATCCTTTGCAGGATCCGCCTTGTTGAGTGTGGGGCACTCGGAGCAAGTTCCCGTCCTGCTGGCCGAGCTGGCACGCATGTGCAGTGGGCTTCAACGCCCACAGGGTGCCTCGACTTATGCGCAGAAGAATGCCCAACGATGCACAACCCAAGTCGCGGCAAGGCAGCGCAGGCTTGAATGCTCGTAGAAGCCACAGTCTAAAAATCCCGCAAGAAATGAGACAACCTGCCACATGCCGCACAAGCGCAGTGACTGCTGCGGCTACAGAAGTATGCAAGAGTCAGGTGTCCGACAGTCATGGCATGCAGAACCATGCAGAGAAATGCATAAAAACACAATCACCAAAGATGTTACAGGCAGTTTTGGAGGTTTTGCCGACCGTATTGTATTGTCTTATCTAGAATCTAGGGCCCACTAGACTGGCCCACTAGGCCTCCACATACCGTCCGCTTCCATTTGCCAGCCGGCTTACCTCCCCAGGGATGGCCAGTGAAGGAATTGGAGGTTAGTGCACGAGCTTTAAATAAAGCCGCGTCAGAAGCCGAGCACAACCGAACAGGACCGGTTGAACACCTTTTCTTCATCGTTCGTTGGCACCGTTGGCCTCCAACTATACTGTATGATAAAATTGGCTTTCCGCTCAACCGCTGCCGCTGCGTCGGATGCAGTAGCAAGCCTGTCATTCTGACACTCTTGAAGAAACATCCTGCGCCCACACAGTCGCGAAGCCTCGGGGACGAAAGCTTTATAGGCTTCTTGACTTGCATCTCCTTGTGCCGGGTAATTCCGGAGGCAGTGGGTGCGTGTCTTCTCAACTACAGCCATCGCCCCTAACCGGCAACGAGACAAGCTGCTTGGACAGCATTCTTGGTATGTGCCGCAGAAGGTTTTCTTAGCTTGCAACTGCCATGCATGACAAGCGCTTGCATGATAAGCTTGCTGAAAGGTCGCGGGTAGAGAACAGCTTGGGTCTGGCAGAGTTTGGAGATGCTTGGACAGAATTTTACAGCACGACTTCTGGACTGCCGATTGGACGGGGCTATGACCGTGTCGTTTATGGTGATCATGGCCCCTATGTTGAGTTTTCAGCGCATCAGCTTTGCTGGTCGACTTTCCCGGCTTTTGTCGAGAAGCCAGAAATGAGTTTCTTTGATGAGTACTACACTGCTGATGGCTTAACTATGCTATATGCGCAGAAGCGGACAGTCGTCAACAAGCCAAACCCTCCCAATGGACCTTGGTCTGCACAGAACAACAGGCCGGAAGGGTATGCGAACTACTTGATAGGCAAGTTCTACTTGGCCTGTGAGCCTGACGTCATCACCGTGAATCGGCCCAGCACTAGGCCCAGACGCAAGAAGAAGGGCAAGGGAATGGCTTCAGAGGCCGAAGGCGAATGTCCGGAAGAGGTGGTCGAGGATGCAACCGAGATCTGGTCGGACGATCATGTCTTGTGGCAGCCAGAAGACTGGCACTGGCAAAAGGAAGACTGGCAGAGCTGGAACCCCGAGGAAGGCACATGGACGGAAGATTGGTGCCACAGCGTCGAGCAGGCTTGGCAGTACCCCCCGGAAGACACTGCAGCAACCTATGGCCCTTATGTCTTCGCTGAAGAAAGCACCAGCACGTCTGCAGCTTGGAGTCCAATCGTGCAAGAAAAGACAGGTCCTAATTGCCAGCACTGATGGACTATGTTTTAAAGTGCATACACTATGATGGGCTCGCCGCTTCATCAAGAGGTAGAGTAGGGCTTAGTAGCTCGTGGAAGCTTCTGGAAGCGCCGAACGATTCACCGGGCCAGGCACATCGGCGCAGAGCGCAAATCGTTTTCAGTTTGTCTCTCTTGCGGCAGGTTTCAGCCGCCAGAAGCCATGTCGCTCATGAAGCGTGGCGGGCGCGCCTCGGGTTCGTTTGATCCAATGCTACTAGTAGTGGTCGACGTTTGCGTGCAGGTTTTTGTTCCTCCTGATTTTGCTTATCGTGATCACCGTTGCCGCAACAACGACGAAGTGACCATAACTCCGCACATCTAATTGCCTCGGGAGGGCTGCAGAAAACTGTGCCTGCTGATGAATTTGCATGAGCCGCTAGGTATTGGACCCACTGGCTTTCCATCACAGTCATGGTGGGTGCGATGCTCGTTGTGGACGTCATGTTCTTGGATGACAGGACGAAAACCCTTTTTGAGCACTGCTTGCTTTTGCTTCGGTGTCCTGAGCGCATCTGAGCAACTGTTATGAGTCATGCGTGGCAGTTCGTTCGTGTTCGATCCCTTCCTGGATGTTCAGAAGATGTGAGAAGGCCGCCACTGTCTGATGCAGCAGCACAAGTTTGCATGCTAGAGTGTTTGTCAGATAGACCAAGAGACAAGCTTAAGAAGGATCCATACTTGCTACGTGCCGACTGGATCAGCCACAGGGCGATTGCACTCGCGAGCACTGCTGCTCCTGTGCCGAGCAAGCAAGTGTGTAGGATGGAGATTGCAACCTCTCGCCGGAGTTGGGCCAGTGCCAAGCCCAGCACTTGCCTAGGCTTGAGTTCCCGGCTTTAAGAGATCCTGGTGGTTGTGGAAGCTGTGTACAAAAAATTGAAACGGTCAGTAGGGTCGGAGCTGACTGGAAGGGCGCGAAAAATGCCCGCGTGCACGTTTCGCAGCCTTTTTCAAGACTTAGTCGGAGCACGGAGTCACGACTCGGCGGCGGAATCCTGCGAGCCTCAGGCTGGAACCTCGGTCAGCAGTAGCGTCACCAGAAAATCACAGCAAGAAGTTTTGCACTTTGGTGTCATGGAAACAGGAGTTGGCGTTCATTCGTTTGACCTTTCTGGCACAACCCTCAAGAGCAGCTGCCGCATCCCTGTTAACGTAAAGCTTTGCTTGCAGATAGGTGCTACAGTAGGTGCACGTCATAGAGTCATAGAGTCATATCCAATCGTGAGCTACATCGAGCAGCTCAGATAGTTCCAGTATTGCAGCACTTCCAGATGTCATGTGCGATGTCCTCGGGCCGCCCTCCTTCGTGTGCCCTTTCCAGCGGTACCATGTGTACAGGCCACTGTTTGCGCGTGGAGGTAAAATGACAGAAGTGTGTCGAATGGGTTTGCATCCGCAGGAGCAGGAATGCCGTTTTCGTTTTCGGCATTGACAAGGCAGGTGCTAGGACATGCAGCGCGTGGATGAGAAACGCAGGTTCTTCTGAAATGCCTAGCTGTACGGTAACGCAACATTCTTGACAAGTTACATTTCCAGGCACAGAGGCGGACAAAGCAGAATGTCAGCGCAGCAGTGACACTTCCCAAAGTTGACCTTTCATGTTTCCAATGTCCTGCGAGATGTACGAGGAGCAACCGCACCCTTCCCTGGCAAATCGTCCTCCTGGTACCGCAGCTACTCACGTATGCGCACTCACCGAACCACTGCCACATCGCGCGACTTCTGGAGCAGGGGGGCGGCATGAGCAAAGCGAGTCAACGGACGCTCCTTCTGCTTTTTGGGAAGCTCGGTGTGTGCTCTCTGCTTTTTCTCATGTTGCAGTCCTCTGGCAAAAACTGATTCGGGCTGCGACTGATTGGCTGTGGTGGGATCTGGGTTGGCTTCTCATGGTGCTCCGGGCTTACCTGGTGCATGATTCAATTGATCCAATCATGATCCTATATTTGGTGTGCATGATGATTCGACACCAACACCTTGCCTCGCTGATTCGCTTTGCCCGATGACCTGCATGCGTATTTTGTTGATTTGTGCTGTCCGATTCCACTCCGTGCTTGCTTGACCCTCCAGTTGGACCACCCGACCCTGCAGATCCCCGCGGATTACGGAGCCTGGCCAAGTGACGCTGTCACGGCAGACTGTCGGCGTCTGCAGTTGCCTCTGTGGAGAATTTTCAGAGGCTTTAAAACGGCGAAGTTTGGGACCTCAAAGCCGAAGCGCTTTCGGCCCTGCTGTCCCTCTGCGGCAGCGCATGGCAGCGCTCCGTGCGAGTCGAGTAGAGCAGAGCAGCAGCTTTGAGCAGGTTCGAAAGGAGTACAGCTGCTTGGAGATCCCGAAGCAGGAGGCGGGGAGGCGGCATCTGTGACTGCACTGCGCCGTTTGCACCACAGCGCTTCACAGGATGCCCACCCGACGCTGGAGCTTCGAGGAGGCCGTGAGGGGCCACTGTGAATTGCCGACCGGAGCCCACGAGGGAAAGCGCCTGCGCATGCCAGTGCGCAGGAGAAGAGCGCCATGAACTTGCAGGTTTAGATGCCCGGCTTCGAGACATGAGGCAGAAGTTCGTGTTCAAAGATATAGAGGGCCAAATGTTCTATAGATTCTATGTTCTCTATACTCTATACTAGACATCTGATGATCCCGCTGGGAGCAGCATGCTGCACCATTGATAATCTTACATGTCGTTTTAAGCTTGCAGGGATTCTGATTCTGTCGGACAGGAATACCTTCGACACTCTGCACAATTGTGTATAATGAGTTTTGCACCGTAGACTCAGGAAAACCAGACTCCAGCCTATGCAGACTGCACAGAGCATTGCGTCGCAGGCGCGAGCACGGACTGGAGGAGGTGGGGACCTGGCACTGATGTGTTGCAGTGCCTTTTTTTAGACAGGTTCTGCTTTGCTGTTGCAATGCCGCAATGCTTTGCTGCTGGAGGTCGCCTTAAAGGCTTCTGGGCTGGTTGGATTTATCAGATTTCTTTGCGGGCCTGCGCCTCTGCCACTCTACCGCTGACTTTTCAATGAATGCATGCGCATGCACTGCGTTGTCAAAGGCACTACCTCATCTTGATCAAGACGCACAAGAAGGAGAGAGTTCTTTCTCCCTGTAGAGTATGCCCGCAGTGATTTCACCGGCTGCGCCCTCTCTTGCTGCAGGTTGGAAAAATCGGCTGCCTTCCCAGTTGTTCTTCGAAGCATACGCGCTTTGCATGTGCGGTGTTCAGATGCTTTTTGCAGCAGCCGACGCCACGGCAGCAACAGCAACTGCCAGAACGGGACATGTAGAGTACTACTGTAGTGTCAGCGAAGCATGGTCGTGCAAACGTTGCGAAAGGAAAGAGCAACAGCCGTGGATGCTAGAGAGCAGCCCAGTCAATGTTCCATGCAAGGCTCCAGGTTGCACCGCCCTGCCTCCTAGTCTGCATATCCTCTTTTGCGGAGTGACGAGTCTATGTGTTCTCGGGAACAGTAGCAGCAGCCCTAGCAGCACCAGCAGCGCTTGAACGACCTCCTATTGTTGCTGCATACAGTAAATTCAAACGACTTGTCGTGTTCCCCCAGGTCATCATCACGTCCTTTCGATTGAGTCGACAGCCTTGGTGCCACTCTTCGGAGACACAAACAAAAGGCGCGACGTAAAAGCCGTACAGGGTTGGTTTACATTTCATAATATGTTGAACTTTACAGTTTGGTAGGGAAGAGAAGAACTTCAAGGACCAGCTGAACAACCTGAACCTGTCCAAGGAGGGGCTGCACTTCGCATGGCCTGTGCGTTGTGATCGTCCTGAGTGCCGCGCCAGCAGGCTTAGCATCCAGTGAACGGAAGAGCTACATGGTGTGGACTAGTTAGACCAAGTTAGGGTGGTGAGGCCCTACGGAGTTGCGGTACATCACGATTGATCTACAATCAACAAACCGAGTGAGACTAATGCGATGCATCGTGCCTTTGCACATCGAATTGACAAAATTGAAGGGATGTGGCCATGGCCGGGCGTCGCTGGACCAAAGTTCCGACATCTTAAGCTTCCAGCGAGATGTCGAACCAGTCTTTCACCGCCTTCGTAAAGGCAAGTGCGTATTATGCACCCACTGCGCAACCACGCAGAAATCGGCGGCCTGAATCTGCTCACGTTTCCCTGCCTTCACCAACACCGCCGGCCACGCGCCTATGTGCTGGCACAGGGCCGTTGCCAAACGCCGAGGGGCTGACTCAAACGAATCTTGCAGCAAATTATGCAGCAACTGCCGCAACAGCAACTGCCGCCCTCTCGGAGACTCCGAGACTGGACAGAGAAGCCGCGACTCACAAGCAGGTTTCGCGGCCCTGGAGGGAGAGCCCTCCGCAGGCTCTGAATTCGAACTCGGGATGGAAGAGTGTGAAAGGTGCCTTGCTCGCCTTGCAGAACGACAAGATTTCGGATCTCGTGAAGCAGCGGTCCCAGGTCACCCGACAGGTTCGAGATCGGATTCAAGCCTTTGACAAGCGAGTGGCTATTCTGTCGAGTGGCGGCAGAAAAGTAGCTGCCAACGAGTCTGCGGAGAATAATTCTGCTGGAGATGCAGGCCAGAAGAGTGTGGAGAGTCCGTGGCACTTGCTAGGCCCTAGGCTAGTTGCAAAGGGTTCAGGGAAGAGAGCGCGTGCCCTGGGCAGTGCGAGGTGACTTCGGCAGGTCCCGGGCAGCACGTGAGGAAAGGTAAGATTTAAGCTTTTCAGGGTGAGACTGTTTGTGTTGCTGATACTCCCCGTCAATTTTTTGGACCAGTCAGGTTCGAGTCCAGATGGTTTGCAGACGACGACAACGAGGCCTTTTTCTTCTTGTGCCTTGGGCTCGTTTCTTAGAAGCTTCAGCTCTGACTGCACTTTAAAAGGCTGACGAGTTGGAAGGGATTCCCGGGATGCCCTTCAAGGCTCCTCGGCACCGCAGACAAGAGAAATTAACATGCATGTTGACAATGTTTGTAGCAATTTCTAGCCTTTCACTCGGGCAGCAGCGGAGGGAAGCTGGCAGGATGTGAGCCTGTGTACCTGTGCATTGTATTGATGGCTACCAAAACTTTCCGAACTGTGTTTTCTCGCATATCTGGCGAATGGCAAAATCCTTGGAAGCTAGAGACACGCACGACAAGATCCAGGTGACCGGATGGTCGTCTCAGCGAGGAAATTTCCCTGCATTCAATCTTCTTGGGACGTCCAGCTGCTGGCAAAGTGAGATTGGCAAGTCAGAAGCTCGGTTTTCGGCGCAGCATCTGTGGATCATGTCATCGTTTTGCAAAACCACCATCGCTGCCTCGGCGAAACGACATTACCCTCAGGACGAAGGACCAGCATCTAAGCTTCGAAGTGGAAGACATCCCTGCAGCTGTGCAGCATACTGCTCCGCATAATTCAGCAACAGTCGAGGCTTCTTGTCGCCTGCTCTCAGTTTGCTTATCGCAGCACGGAGGGAACTGGACATCCCGTCACTGAAGATTCGTCACGCCCGGTGAACTTAGGCACCAGTCGTCGCCATACAGATGGAGGTTGTCACCAAGGCGAACGGCTTTCCATTTGTGTTGCACCCCTTGCAAGCGCAAGAGCAAACCGTTGCACTTCCCTGCACGACTTCGATGTGAAAGGAAGTGACACCAAAGAGGTGCAGGATGATGCATCCTGTTTGCAATTCCACATTCCGATTCGTTTCACTGCGGAAGCAAAGGCGAAATGTCCAATTCGCACCGATCAAGCATGCGAACCCGAATTCGAAGGATCTGTTTGAATTCGGCTGCTAGGTTCTCCACAAATTCAGCGACTGGTCCCTGGCAAACTGCATGGACATTTACTGCGCCGCGCTTATCGCCCAGCGATCACTTCTGAAGCTGTGAGCAGAGAATGAGGGTGTATGCAGGTGCCAGAGAATGTGGCCGAGAAGGGCTCGACAATCTTCTATAAGGCGAAGGAGGACGGTAGCTTTGTGTAAGCTGCTGGTGCAGTACGAAGATCGGAAGTGCCTTTTTGCAGCCTAGGCCGTGCAACATGAAAGCTTCTACTTGTAGCCTATGCTAGCAACACATGGGAGCATAGAAAACCAAGTACATATCAGCGAGTGGGCTTTACCAGCTCGACTGTCACATTAGTTTGACATACACTGTTTGCTCTGGTCTTGAATGTGCATGCTAGACCAAGATGCTGACAAAGCAATGTGGCTAGGCCCAATCAAAACACGGAAACAACCCGATGTTTCCTCCCTTCAGCATATCCCCAGGACATGAAAGAAAATGCCGAGTCTGCACCATGGTGGCGCCTCGTGATCCTTGACAACTATGGCTCCCAGGCGAAGAACATGGATACTGAAGCCAAGCAATCCACCCAAATTGTAATGCGCCGCTCAACTTGCCATGGCAACTTCTTGTTTTTTTTTTTGCTGGGAGAGGCATGTGTGGCCATTGCGGCACCCCTCAAGTTGCTGGTCTCAGCGAGAGGCCTGGCTTTCTCCTTTGGGTAACCTTGCCCATTGCATGTTGAGGGCTTGTTCGAGTCCCAGTTCCACTGGGCTCCATCGTGCTCCGACCTCTCTTTAGGTTTGTGGCAGGGCGGCATGGTTGACGGTTTTTTTTTCCCTTCGGGAGGCTCCTTTTGCTTGTTCCCTTGTTCTGAGACATTCCGCCCATCGTGCACAGACATGGTTTTCGCTCGGAAATATTTTTGCGGAATGGGTCGGAATGGCACAGTCTTGCGATGTCTTGCTTCACGCCAGCACCCTGTCGCCGGGCAGGCGAGCACATGCGAATGAAGCAAATCAAGCGGAACACAATCACCTTTCTGGAAGACTCCTTCTTCGCGGCTTGCCCTAGACTGCATTGGCATGTGCGTGTGCTGTTCGTAGCATGTGCATCAATGCCTTTGGGGCAAAGGCGCAGAAGCACCTGATGAGCAACTTGACAGCGGAGGAGCGATTTGACAGGCGGCAGCTCGGAACGTAAATCGAGTTGATCGCATCTTGTAGCCTGCATCTTCAATTTTCCTCGTCCTTACATTTGCCATCCTCTGAAGTTTTGTGGGTGTACTTGATTGAGCTTTGGTGCCTCTGTGACTTTTCTTGAGGTTGGCAACGAAGTACAACATTGAGCCAACGTTCATTCAGAAAGCCCACCAGCATTTCGACACAACGGAGAATAGGAAGACAGGCAATGCGGACCTGTTTGAGCTGACCCCTGATCCTTGCATCTTCGTCAATGTCCACCATAGCGTGTTGTTGGGCAGGTCTTTGGACAAAGAAGGATTTCAGTCACTGGCTGCTTGAGCGTCATTGATGCATTTATGATATGAGATGACCAGCTTGCCATGTTCCGTAGTCGCGAGGTTCCTTCCACTGAAGGAACGATCCAAACTTGCTCCTGAACGGATGACGTTCTATTGGAACAGATTGGACAAGCGACCAGACCGCACCAGCTACGGTTTATCCATGTTCAGATCTTTGTACATGTCACATGTCCCTGAAGGGACGAGCACCACTGCGTTGACTTCGAAGAGTTCGTGATCTTCTTGCAAGCCCTGACTTCCACTGCTGCCAAATACTCCAAAAGTATCCCCGAGTTTCTTTTCCCGGACCTGGTCAAGCAGGCAGAAGGATTTGACAATCTTGACGAGGAGCCGGGCAGGGAATGCAAAGGCTGTCACATACAACGGCTGCGTGCTTTGTATCCGGTCTCGTTCGGTCTTGAGGAAGGCTCAAAGGGCGCTCTGCTGACGCCCTCGGCCAGCAACAACCAGGCCTGTGCTCTGACATGTTGAATTCCATTTGTCGTCAGCTCTGGTCTTGTGAACATCTGGTTCTGCTAACACTGGGATGTTGTGCACAGCCTAAATTTTAGCCTAAATACAAAAAATATTTAAACCTGTGTTTTGAATGCAGGGGGGGAATGCGTTTGGGAGTCCCTTTGGAATGCATGTGTGTTTGCACGTGCGTTTTGGATGCGTTGTTGGATGTGTTTTTCTGCGTTTCGTGTCCGTTTGCATCCGTTTTGGGATCCGTCCTGGCCCTGCCCTGGTTTCGGCCCCGGCCCCGCCCACCCTTTCCGGTTGGGCAAAACGGATCCACAAAACGCATTTTCCTGCGTTCTGAGGGATTCCAAACGCATCCATCTCCCGCAGGCCCCCGAACGCATCCCCAAACACATCTGAAAACGCATATTCAGGAAATGTAGCTCTTCCCCAATCCAGAGTTGGCAGGCCGCAGATTTTCATAGCTCTGGTCTTTTGAGAAACAGGCTTAAGGCTTAAGGATGCTGTCGGTTTTTGCACCGGGTATCAGGCATAAGTCGGCATAAGCTGAAGTGCAACTCCCGTGCAGTAGGTTTGGGAAGGTGCTGACGGATTAACGGACGTACAAGAATGTTAGAATCGCTTTGAGTTTTCCAGAGTCAGGAGAGCAAGTCGAGGGCGAGGCAGTCAGTCCTCGGCTCCGAGGACCTCACTTCGCTCGCTTCACTCTCGCGATCGCGAGGGCGGACCAGTGTCAATGCACAGAAAGGGCCAGCGCCCAATCTCGACGATCTGGATATGTCGCTGCTGGCGCCACGGCGAAGTATCAAGTAACCGTCGTGATGATCCTCATCAGCCTTCAGCTGAGTGCAGCATCGGACTGGATGCGGCAAGCCTTTTCCAGAATTCAGAACGACTTTGGTGCTGTTCAAAACACTGCCAAGGTGAGACAGGGGGGCCCGGAAGGGAGTTTTGCCCTGGGAGAGTTGTACAGGCTGTACAGTTTACGGTCGTAGCCAGCACGCCGTGATGGGCTGTTGCCGGTGTTCTCTAATCCCGTGGAGTCCAACACTTTGTCTTGAGTACTTCACAACTGGAGACGATGGTCGCCACCATGCAGAGACCTGCGGTGCAAAGATGTACAAAACTTCTGCTTGAGAGCTTCTCGGTGTCTACTTTCGTGTTCACTATCTCTTTGTCTCTGCCTCCTGCGCTCTTTGCTTAGATTCTCAGTACCTCCCTTGTTCTTTCTCTCATTTAGTCCGTCTCTCGTCGCTCCTCCGTCTTTCTGTCCATGTCTGTTTGTCTTCGCCTCTCAGCTGCCTCCCGCGCCACGGAATGCTTTGGTGCACACCAACCCGACACGACCATCCAGAGCACCTACTCGTAACCTCTCAAAGTCTGAGTTCTCACTGCGCGCGTTTTTGCAGGGTGCCTTCACCCACGACCAACACTTTCTCGAGCTACGACTTAGGCAGGGGAACCGTCGATTGTCACGGGGATTCGGCCACCCTCCACCAACAACTATCTACTTTCACCATCTGAGCAAACCGTTCCAAAACAGGACGACAGGAGATGAAAACGAGCCTAACAACGCACGAGCTGCGAAAACTTGCCTACGGGTGACTGACCTCGTCCCCACACTCACATCTTCTTTTTGCTTTGATTTGTGCTGTCACGGGTGCCGGCCCTTGTCGACTTGACTCTCGTGGGCTGCAAGCGTTAATCCGTTCGTTTGCAGTTCACTTGCACATTACCTGTTGCAGTTTTTTTGTTGATGTTAAGATTATGTGAATCTGCATTTTAGCAGCACTTGCAAGTGCGTGGCTTTGGACAGCCACATGACGGACTTTCAAGCTTGTTCAGGATTTCTACTTCTCCTATTCTTACGAGCTCAGCCGCACTGTTCAGCAGAATCTGGCGGATGCCAAGTGTGCTGCACGAGGCTCGGTGATTACTGCACCGGATGCTGATGTCGTAGTCGCAGTGTGCTTTAGCTGTATGCCGTCTTGGATTATCGTCGTGTCTCGCACGTTCCAGGGCAGCTCAGACCACTCTATGTGGAGAAGGACCACAGCTTTGTCCAGATGTGTTTCGCTAGCTACCAGCTGTGTGGCATGGCAAGATGGCGGCAGGACAATTCCACCGTGTTTGAAGTACTATCCCCCCTCTACAGTCTATCACTGCAAGGATGCTTCAAAGCACCACAGATTTGTGCGTGGACCCGAGACAACTGCAGCGGTTCCTGCTCATAAAAGCTGTGGGGTCATGTGGAGGTGGAACCACTACCACATGACGCCTTTCTTCGCCAACGAAGGCTGGCAGCACTGGTGCCTTTCGATAATCCATGGCTTCTTCGCGTGCTGGGCTGAGACGGCTGAGCAGCAGTTTCCAGAGGAAACAGTTGCATTACAGAAGACAGGCAGATGATCCTAGTCCGAGTCCAGGCATACGAAGTGCTCTTCTTTCGGCTGGACATTTGAGGTTGCACTTATTGCCAGGTGCGCTGCTTCGGATTTCGTCCCGTTTTAGAGCGTAGCAACTGAACACGGAGGCGCTCGCGATTCTATGCAGGGACCCGCGCGGCTGCCTCGCTTAGGATTTGAAAGGCGGAGGAGTTTTTGCTTGTCGGAACCGAGTGTTCACCAGTTATTATATACAGAGTTATACAATGCATGATGTAGGGGCCAAGGCCTTGCAACAGGAGCGAGCAACAGGCCACAAATCACCATTTGTGACAGCGAAGACCATGCAATGGCGCATGATGAGGATGATGATGATGATGATGATCACAAATCCCAATACTTCCCAATCTTTCCCAGTCGTGGTTAATCGGCACATTCACTTGTATGTGCACGGACATCAGAAAATAGAATGCAGGCAGAAGCAGATTTGAAGCACGCCGACGCGACGCGCGGCATGCCTAAGCCAGCAGCACAAGATTCCATAACAGGCTATCGAAAGCGCGGGCTCAACGTGGATGGCCAGGCGGGCAGCAGTGTAGGTGTCTTCGAAAGGTTCGAGATGAGATGAGACGCAGGTTGGGAACGATGTGGAAACCGAGCAGCTGCTCTGCGACGACTCTTTGCGCCATTTGTCGACTGGCCATGTGATGAGCTTCGTCCAGGCCGCACTTGGCTCTCCGGATAAGTAGCCGTAATTGTCGAAGGGTAGCACTCGTCTGGTTTCCCACGCCTTTGCAGATCCGCGGGAGCGTGCCGCTGTTCTGGTCACAAGAAGCTACAGCCATCAATCCAAAGCCACCGGTGTGGTTCTTAGAATCTTGAGCTCACCTTGGTTCGTGTTCACCCTGGCCAGATGGGCAGTGTTGAGTGATCAGAAAAAGGGTAGTAGGGGAGGATAGAGGCCGAGGGGAAAATGCTGCACGATTACTTCCGGTGCCTGCAAGCCTTGCAGAAAGCCACACCCCAGTACGAAGGGATCATGTTCGTTCGCGGAGATCCATTGCCCCGAATCTCCAAGCATGCGGCCGTCATTGAAAATGAGCTACAGGACTTTTCTTCCTGTGATTAGACCCTCGACCCCTTCACCACAAAGCGATTTTCTTTTCGATTTCAGGTTGCCTTTGCAGTCTTGCTTTCGCACCTTCTGCAGGACCCTCTTTATCCTGAGTCTACTATCCGAGTTTTGACAATTGCTGATCTGCTCAACGCTCCCTTCATTTCATTTCAGTTCCTTTGGTCACTCTTCAGTTCCGTCGAGCCGTCACAGCCATCCTGACCCCACCCTCCTTTGTGGAAGACCTTCTCCAAAACCAAGACCGTCACAAAGAGGCGAAGCAACCAGATCTTCTCGCCACGGGCGAAGGCCTAGGTGCGAGACTCTAGAAGGGCACTAGAGGACTTCGTCCCGAGGTCCAGTCCGACGGCCGATGTCTTTGTCGGAACAGCTACTGTAGTCAGCGGCAGCCAGTTAAAGAGCTGTCTCACAAGCCGTTCAAGACTTCTGATCCTGCTTTGCTTGGTCCATTCAGCGATGGAGACTGAAAGTCAGTTTCAATGCCCAGAGGTCGTGTACCCACGCTGTGATCCGACGCTGTCTGCCACACGCCGACACTTTGCTGACTTGCTTGAGAGGTTCGGGACTGCTTCGATCCTTGACAGCTGTGTCCTTTTGCCAATGAGAGGTTTGAAGAGGCTGTGCGCGCATGGAGGTATGGCACTCCACAGCTGGTGGTCAACCTCATGAAGGCCAAGAAGGTGAACGGCCATCCCGCGAGCCTGTTTCCTCTGCATCTGCCTGAACAAGAATAGGATTCTTGCTCTGCCATGTTCAAGCTGCAGGTATAGTCAATGTAAGATACACAGTGGGCTTGGCCTTGAAGCAAACAAACAACGGCCCTGCAAAGCGACGCTAGGGTGCAATTGTGGAACCTGAAGCTCACATCATGCAGTTTGCAGAAGTGAATCATTGAATCGGTCTGTCAGGTTAATACATCTTGTTGATTGGTAGCTCATGCATTAGGCCTCTTTCGCGTGTATGATGCGCATCTAAGCCGAATGTCGCGCCGGGGCAGGACGGAGGAGCTGCTTCCGTTTGGCCAAGAGACCAAGCAGAGAGCGTGAACATATCGCAATTCCTTCTGCTTCCGCCAGCCATTGGCTCGATGGCGTGCTGTCTAAACCCAACTCAGGTTAGATCAAACAGGTGGAACGGAAGCGAGTACAAACATGTTTTCAGAAATTGGGCCCAACAGTCTGACATTAGCTGCCATACCCTCAGATGTATGAAAGCCTCGGGCTCGGTATCAGTATAGAACCAGAAAGCCAGTCCTGCAGAGCAGCGTCATGATTGGGCAAGCTCGCAGACGGTATGACAGGGACTCGTCCGGAGACTCCACCACGCTACCGCTACATTCGCAGTGGGACAAGCGACGACGAGCAGGAGAATGACCGCAACGGCAACACGGTGCTGGCAGCACGGAAACGTGCAGGATCAGTGGGAAGACCCGTGCTGATTTCGCGAAGATTGGATCGTCAGAGGCACGGTGGCACGCACGTTCTTGGGGAGGCAGCGGTGCCTCCTCAATCTGTTTTGCAAGCACCTGCTCTTTTGGGCTTGGGGTGTCTTGATGCAAATGCATCATTTGGGCTGGACATGTTTACTCGCAGGCACCTGGACTTCGCTGCACGTGTCCCCAACGAGTCTCGCAACTGGATTGGAAATGATCCAATGGCATTCATCCCAGCCGTGCCAGCTGCACCATCTTCTGCATGGCCATGCATGGCGGCCAAGTCTGCATGCCGATCACAGAGTGTTGGGACAAACGTTCGCCGAGAGTCTGCATTCTTACGGCCAAGTGGCACTTTTTTCGGTGCACCAGCGCCTGCACCCACCATGGCGCCCCCGCCTTTGCGCCCCCACTCTGTCTTTTCTCATGTTCCACCTCGCTGCAACTCTTTCTCTTGGCAGAGTGTTCCTGGCACAGCTTCCGCATGCTTGCAAGCTGACGGACAAGAACACAGTGCGCCACCGCGGCCACCGCAGTCAGGGCCAGGGCCGTTGTTCGCGAAGCCAGAGCAAGATGCGCAAGTTCATGTGCAAGCAGACAGTTTCCAGATCCAGCTAAGCACTCCTTGCGCTCACAGCATCTTTCCGTCTGTGGATGAGCATCCCTCCACTTGGCAGCCGCAAAAACACACCGCCCTACAAGAACTACAGTGGCAGCAAGGCATGCCAAGGCAGTCTGACAAGGATCCTCAGCTCGTGGAGCTTCCTGGCTGCATGAGCATCCCGTGGAGGTGTGACAGTGCTTGCGCCCCGACAACCAGGAAGCTCCAATCGTCTCAGACAAAACAGGCGCACCGCTGCCGGGTGTTCTTCTGTGAAAGCGTCGAGTGCAAGCAGTGTTCGTGCAGTCTGGACATGTCATGTCGATTCCGTCGTGAAATCTTTTCAGAACTTGCTCAGCAGAGCTTGATGGGGTCAATGTTCTCGTTCCAGACTGCATCAGCTCGATTCAGATGGCCCGCACAACGACATTTGTGGCGTAAAGCGGTAAAAAGCAGTATTGGCAGGTGGAACACGAGCAGTCCAGTGGAGGGAGCTGCCGGAACCTGAGCAGATAAAGTGCTGGCGTCGGCAAGTGCAGCCAGTCAGGCGATGTTAGACAAACGGTATCTGCTGACGCTTCCGCAACTTGAGGTGAACATGCAGAAGACCTGCAGCCTGATTTGCATTCAAGAGACGAGTGTGTTGCGATTGTGTTGCACAGAGTTCGTGAGACCTTTCTGCAAAATTGAACAGACCAAAATTGTGTAGTGACATGGGTGGGAGACACCATGCACGGGTGCACACGCCCCACCCGAGGAATTCAGTGCGAGATGGCCATGTCCCAAAGGCGATGCGCAGCGCATCACGCAGCAAGCCTGAGTTTGGAGGCGATCTTCTCAGAGACTGACTCCTTCTTGAAAGAGTCTCGCCTGACTCTGACAGGCTCCTTGCAGCCGCCACAGCCATGGCCTGCCACGGGACCTCCACATAACAGGTGGGAAAGAATCTAAGAAGAGTTGCCATTGCGGTGCAGCCGCCTCCTCATGCAAGGTCGCAGATGTCCTGCGCACGGATTCTCATCACTGGCGCGAGTGGCCTACTGGGACGGCAGGTCATGAAGGCTTTCAGTACCTGGCAGGCTCAGCTATGATGAGTTCATATCGTTCCAGCAATTTCCATCTGTGAACACGATGCACGACCTGCTCGGCAGGTGCAGGGTGTTTGTAAGCGGCGTGCAAACATGTCCAACATTGCCGCCTGCGAATCTCATCCGGCAGTCAGTCAGCAGGGTGGATGCAGATTTGCATGGTGTAGGGGATGATTACAGCCAGCTCTGGTGTGCAGTAGTATGCCGTGTCCACGCACTGAAAAAATTGCCGTCTCAGCACTGAGGATCTAACCAACGAAGCTGCCAAAGACTCAGATTGACGTGCTCGATCATCACCCGCCGGCTTTTTGATGCCTCAGGCAGTTGCCCAGCTCATGGAGCATTTTCGACCACATGTCGTCCTTCACTTGGCAGCCGAGTGGCGTCCCGAAGTGCTTCGTCAGCGTCCAGAGCAGGCGAGGCAGCTAAATGTGGATGCCACAGGCGCGGGCCCTTGGGTCGCATACGTGGTCTTATGGAATCCGTTGCGACCCTCTTAGCAGGCTTCCTGGCCACGGCATGCGAGCGCCTGGGTGCTTGGCTCGCGCCTTGACAGAACTTCAACGCCCGGCTTCTGCGCTTCGGGGAAGGCGAATCGAGGCATATCGAGGCGAGGCGGCTGTGAGCTCGACGTGGTGATTCTTCAAAGTTACTCTTTTTGGATGTTTGGCGGCTTCGCGCCCTGTCAGATGTGCAACTCTTCCAAATTGTTCGAAGTGAGCAACTCCCATGCTCGGGGATATATTCGGATCGGCTCCACGTCGCGCCCTTCTTTGCGTCGGATTGTTTGAAAGCGCAGAACGTACACTTACACCTTCCATTGGAACACTTGTGTTTTTTTGCTTTGGATGCTCTGCCTTGGCTATCTTCCGTGCAACTGCAACAGCCAATTGCATAGATCTGTGAAATCGCTCGTCTGTGGATGCTTTCGTGTCTCCCCGTTGTGCTGGATGGAGCGCTATGCGCTATTGGTCCTGAGCTCGTGATACGGACTCCGTTGCTCGTGTTTGCATGTGTTTGCATAAAACTGACCGGCTGAGGGCTGTGGCAGGGTAGGGTATGAAGGGAAGAATGCAGGCCGTGGTGCCCCGGAACCCCGCCCGAACCCCCAGCTATCTCCTGGCCGGTGCAAAGGAGCTAGCAGCTAGTAGGACCTCTGAAATTCAAGCAACAAGTCAGCACAAAATGATGCATTCATAATGCTTGCACATGTGTGAATCCCCAAGGCTCGTTAGTGTATGTTAGTGTGCTCTGAGTTCTGAATCAAGGTGCACGTCAGTGCGGACTGTGTCTTCGATGGCACCTCACCTCCGTACACGACCAATTCCAAGCCCAATCCACTCAGCGAGTACGGTCGCTTGCCTGGTAAATGAGCCCTGGTTTGGTGCAGAATTTTCCCTGCGGATTGGCTAGCAGTAGTGGGGCGCGGGAAAGGTTGGCACAAGCTCCACAGCGAGCAGCTTGCACAAGCAGCTTGTCCACAAGCAGCGGTGCTCCGGGTCCCCCTTCTCTACGGACCGCTGGCAGCGTCCCTTTCAGAATCGGCCCCGCGTCTGCAAGTACCGTGCAGCAAAAGCAGCGCAAAACCCGCGCGCAGCCATGCGCTATCATGCGCTTTGGAGCCAGGCAGTGACGAGTTTATGTGCCGATCTGTCGAACGGCATTCGCGCCCTGGCATTCGCGATTGTCGGAAAGCTCAAGAGCCTCGGAAGCTACCAGACGCAGCGCTTAGGTGAAGTGGATGCTTGGCAACAATGCTACCCTACTTGGACGGGCGATGTCGCCAGCGTTCTGAAGAACATGGTTGAGCTGCATTTGGCCGGAGAGTGTTTGCAGGGCATCTATCACTTTCAAAGTTGCTCGGCTGCAGCATAAGCCGTCGATTTGGCCCACCACGACATCACTCTGTCAGCACTAAGCACGCTGCCAGGCAGTGAGCGATTCACATGGCACGCCTCGAGCTAAGTTGGTATCTCCTTGCTTTCCGTGTCTTGCTGTGCCTTCATGTCTTAGGAGCCGAAATCTTCGTAGCCTAGCTAGCGTGGGTGGTCGGGACACGTTGATGTCACAGTTAAACTATTCAAAATTTGCAGGTAAGGGTACCGAGCACACATCGCATGCCAATCCATGTAGGAACTTGTCAGGTTTTGTCATGTTGCATGCCGTACTGTAGTAGGTTCTGCGGAGTATTGCGGAGCCTAAAGCCACTTCCAAGCTTATCTTTGAGAAATACAGTGAGATACAGTGAGTTATTGCTGTGCAACCGTCCTCCTCGTTTTCGCCCCGGGACCGGGAGCTGCTTCTGGTGCTGCCGCCGTGAGCGTGGCATCGTGGTTGCACAGATTTTCGGTCTGCAGAGGAGATGATGCTGATCGTGGCAGAGGTCGCCGGGTTGGATGCGTCTGGCATCTCTGCCGTGCGCAGCCCACCCGCGACATCCCTCCCACGAGACACCCAGCGACTGTCTCAGCGAGATTGGGGTATAGGTAGAAGTCTCAGATCAGACCCTGAGACGGTTGAGACGAGGTTGGACTGCTCCCGTCTGACCCAACTTCTGGGCCGCTGTCCTGAGACGCGCCTCCGCGATGGCCTGCGGCAATGCTTGCCCTGCTTTCGTGCGAGGCACCGAGTTTCGTCCGCTATTCCAAAGTGAGTGTGCTTTCAAAAGCCCGGGACCGACAAGACTAAGGATGCCTGCGCAACACAAGCGGAGCAGGAATCCGAGCAACAATCACCGATTCTTGTGAAAGCACGATGCACTGGCCAGGCAGGGGGCGCCGTGGATCCTGACCCCAGGAATCACGGTGCAACACTGCAGAAGGTCTTCTGGGAGGACATCTGACGCAACTGAGGTCACTGAAAGGGTGAAGCGGAGGTGCTCCTCACAGTCACTGAGAATGCTAAACTGAACAGATCAATCAGACTCAGGCGTCGGTGAAAGAAACGACGTACGACTACCAACCCCTTTATCCCTGAACGAGAATGTCAGGAGCTCGAGCGGACACGCCGTCGTCTGCGACAGGCATGCAGACATAAGGGGGGCGCAGACGAGAGAACATGAAGGGCATTGACAGCCGAAGCTGAAGGCTGGCATCAACCAGCAGCGAGCACGTGCAGAAGGGAGGAGTCGTGGCCGCGACGTTGGCGCCGACATGCTTGCTCCACCAGGCTTGGATGGCCTGGGCAGAAGGAATCAAAAAATATCTAGAGATTCGAAACGCTTCAAGCCGGCTTCTACTTGTCGGAGTCGATCCGCTTCTAGGAATCTGCGAACCAGAGCGTGTCGAAAGTGGCACGCAGATCTTGAAAAGGCCAGCCTAACACACCTCTCGTTTGATTTCAATGTGTGCTGTATAGTAAACATAAAGGTGTTTGGCGCTGGTATAAAATCGATGAGAGATATCACTACCCAGCTAGCGCTTGATCACAGTCAGTTAATAGTCCTGGCACCGCCGAAATGGCTCTGCATACGGTACGTAGCATAGCGTGTCCAAATCCTGTTCTAACGGTGCAGGTGCGTGCAATTTGTTACCCTCCTCCTTTTGATCGTCCTCAGTGTCGTTCCAACTTGTAATGTGGCCGCCAGCGCGAGAGCCGCCTCCGAGCCCGTCCCAAGTTCCGTTATGCCTGTCCGCAGTTGTTTTATGGCGGGTTCTTGTTTTCGATTTTTTGGAGCAAGTTTGGCAGGGGTGTATATGTAGGAGGACCTGTCATTTTCGCAGTTCCCATACTCTGAGGCGATTTTGGTTTTTTTTGGTGTTCAGCCCTCCACCCATCCAGTGTCGTCGCGGAGAAACACCTCTAACCTGTGTCGACCCCAGCAGTTCCAGTTTAGTCCTAGTCTCCTGTAAGCCCTAAGAGCCACGTTCTTGCCGCTACAAGCACCAGCAGAGTTTACCTAAGCAAGGCGTCGTCCTGAGTCCTGCATTAGCTGGACTCGCGATGTTGTAGCCCTAGGTGAATCAGTGGTCCGTGCAGGCCGAAGACTGCAGTAGCAATGTACAATGGTGACGACATGTCTTCCTTTGGTTTTCCCCTCGCAGCTTCTAAGCTCATTTGCTGCGTTTAACCCCCCCTGCAGGTGAACAACGCCTGTACGAGCAGCAGGTGTGAGTGTCTGTTCAAAATTCGCGAGAATTTGGTGCCACTCTGTACAGGCGCAATAGCAAAGGTCTCGTGTCAAAACAAGCAGGCAGCAGTGTTCTTTACGGGGAAGGAGGAGTCGGCAGAGCATTGTGACCTCTGTGTGAAGTGTTGTGGCACATGCAGCATCATGCCGATATCATGCCGCATCGTGTGACGCATGCATAATGCCGGTCGAAAAGCATACTCGTACCACCTTGTCGATTGCGAGGATGAAGCGGCTGTGTGGGGCTCAGCAGCCCTTGACCTGGAGCGCGCCCTGAACAAGGTGCACCGGGTGCACCTGTGCTCCATCCGCACTTGTCTTGAAGGGCGCGTGCGCCCGATCGTTGGTCGTGACCGGTGACCGTCGTGTCGCGAGGTGAGGCGAGGAGAACGGATTGTCTCCTTATTTCAGACTGGACCCGGCCAGGCAATTGCCGAAGTTAGCATAATTTTTTGTATGTCAAGCTGTGAGTTCACCAGGGTGTCGGCGATGCTGGGGCGATCCAGCTTGCTGAGGCAGGAGGGCAAAGGCTCCACTGCGATCATTGACAGAACTGTCGGCATGGAGGCTCTTCATGGATGCCAACACCAGCCTTTAAATCAAGGTGTGGCTCTCTGGTCAATTTTATCGCTAACGCGAGGCCGCCTCGGCAGCGCTAGTTGAGGATAGGAGTTGGTGCTGCCGTGCCCCCCTCCCCCCCCCCTCCCGGCTAGGAACCCAGACCCCCTTCCGGTCAAAAAGCGCCAAAACCCGAGCGGAGGGGGGGGGGGGGGTAATACTCTACCACTAGCCAACCACCGGATGCGATCCCCCGGATCTAAACGCCTGGGGCCTCCGGCCTCGGCGGATACTTATTCCGTTGCCAATGTTTCGTTGAGCCTGGCTGGATTGCAAGGTTTGGTGTTGTTCAGGCTCCGCGGGCATCAGGCTGGATTTTGCCAATCTGCAGCTTGTGACACGCTGTTTCCTCTATGTCAATCACTGTCATTCCATGTCCGAACTTGCTTGTCCATCACTGGGAAATCGCGTGGCATTTCGGCTCGGCATGCTGCCGCAGCGCTTTGTACATCCGGCCGGCCTGTTTGACGGTCACTGGCTCTGTCCAAGCTCGTGTGCTGATCTGGTTTGGGGATGGTACGTTGGTTTGTCTATCAGTCGTTTAAGTTGGACAACACCGGACCAGAAGCCTCCTACAACACTCCTGCACAACAGGAGTTGCTCTGCTTGCCATAGTGAACCAACTGAAATTTACGGGGTCGAGTTTCAAGCTGGCTCTCTTGAGCATGCTTGCCACTAGAGTTACCGCCGGACGGCACTAGTCACCTGAAGCTGTGAGTCACATCCTGTCCGTCACTCGATCGAATCCGGGGCGCTGACAGCACAAGCGAAACCACACTGGCTTCTGGAACGGCAGTTACCAGGCTAAGGCGGCCCGACAGGCCAGAATATCACGGCACGCAGTAAAGACGACCTTGATACCTCAGGTTAGTCATGACCCCGTAGATTCAGGTCACCACCAACACCATGGTGGATTTTGTTTTGCCACAGGCACGGAGTGCTGAGACCGATTTCAATGCTGCCCCAGCATAGAAGAAGGTCAGCAGCTACATCGATGGCTGGGGCCCACCACCTCAGGGCGAACTTGAGACCCCTTTGGGCATTGGTGATTTTGTCATGGGCCCAGCGCCACCGTTCCAGAATCGGAAAACGAAAGTCCAGTCGAGACCAGGTGGATCACCTGGAGAAGTTTCCGGTGACACGCATCGGCCGAGTTTGCGACTTCACTGCTTCCGGGCAGCGCTACCAGGTGCACCGTAGCGACGGAGAATGTCAGCCTCCTTCAAGCCCTCAGCCCGGCTGGAGGCGGAAAGAAACAAAGGCAAGGGTGCAAAAGGAATTGGCAAGGCGACGGCTGGGGCTCACGTTGCATGGGCGTACACTGTGCGAGCTACAGGGCAAAGGCCCGATCCAAGCTTTACAGCCAGGCCAGGCCCGCAGATGGTGACATTCACTTTTCTTCTTTGACCGGCTTAATTGCGAGAGGCAAGGACGAGGAAGGCTTCTCGCTAGTTGACAGCCGGCCCGTCCCGGGCAAATCAAGCGGCAGAGGGCGTTCCTCAGGCGCGCTCTTGGCTAGTGACCACGACACTATTCGCAGCGAAAAGAGACGGATCTGCTGATGACAGGAATGAAGGGCAAAGGAAAAAGCCAGCCTCTTATATTTGTGATTGCATTGCTGAGTGTCATGCACCTTCGACTGGATGGTGCCTGGCATGTCGCCTAGGCAAAGGCATTGCTTCCAATTACCAGGAGGGTATCCTGGGTCAGAAGCAGAAGCCGTACTACCAGGACCGCTTCTGAAATAACGTTTGCAGGAAAGGTTCCTTGCTGTGCTGTGGCGAAGCATACCGTCATCTCGATTGGCGAATGCAGGCAAATCAAAATCAAGCGAAGGGCAAGGGCAAGAAGACCACTGCTACTCGCAGGGGCATGCCTTCCTTCAAGGAGCGCATTTGTTCACTCTCCACCCATCGTGCATTGGTAGCATTGTTGCCGCAGGAATGGTCTGTGCAAACCAGACCAGAGTGGTCGCTCATGAGAGAGATCATGCTCACGTCACTAGCTCCTCGGATGGGGTTGGATCAGAGGCATGTTCAGGTAGAAGCCACCACACACTGCCTCTTACTCGTATCTGAGGCCAAACTGCAGATTGACGCCAAGGCATGTGATCTCTGTATGCTCACATGGCAAAGCCTGACCAGTGTTCACTCTCGACTGGCTGTGCAGTTGGTGGAGTTTGAAGATGTGCATTGGGCCGGAAACCTTCCGACTTACTGCAAGGCCTTCCAGCCGTGCTGGCTTGAGATACAAGACTGCAAGATTAATCGTGATGTGCGAATCGCGGTCCTGCACAACACCGGTTCTGTGTCGGCTACCAGTTAAAGAACTCGTTTTTGGGCGTTGAGGTTCACCACAGCTCGTCACATAGCATGAGCGCATGAGCTGGGGAGTCAGGGCAGGGGCGTGCGATCTTAGCTGTCGGTGGGCAGCCTGCGGTCTTTCGGGAAGACCATCGTGAGAACGCATTTTATGCGTTTGCTTCGACTGCTTGTTCTGTCCTTCCTTCGCTATGACAGACGTTCGACCGTGTGACGGCCAAGACGGAGCGACCTATGAAGCGATTTGAGGCGCGAGCGTGCGGTTTGCTATCGCAGCATCTCGGAGCAGTTCTGATCGACGACAGCCACGTTGAAGAGGATCTGAATTTCTTCAATGTCACGACGTCGGATGACCCAATCCTGCCGGACATGCAATGCTGTGCAGCTGTTGGAGAGGCACGACGAGCTGGCGCTGATATCTTGAATCTCTGCAGGACCTGCTTCAGTCTGACGATTCCGTCACCGTGATCGACCCTCGCTTACCTTAGTTGCCGGCATTTGCAGTTTGCACTGGGCCGGGAATCTGCAGGCAACTGATCATGTTCTAGCCTGCCTCGTCGCAGCAGCCAGGCACGGAGCTCAAAGACAGAGGCAGTGCGAATTTTGTCTCCAGCTTGTGCGAAGGTCGGTGTACTCCTGGGACATCGTGGTGTCAAAGGCTTGGCACTCGAGATGCTCGCTTGCTGGATTGCGTGGTTTTGCCTGTCAGAGGTAGCCAACAAGCTCATATTTGACAAGCGAGATGGTTCGCAGATAGACTTCTTGACTGCTCGGTGCCCAGACCTAGAGATGATTTAGTTCATGAAGGCTGGCATCCGAAGGACTGGATTTGATATCACGACCGTCGTTTCCATTCCTGTAACCTTGACCAGCTTTAACTTCTTCTTTTCTCTATATATGCTACTCCACAGACATTGTGCCATTGCCTGCGCTGAAAATGCAGCGTCGAGGCACGACTAATTGCTCACACTCTCTACTCGCACTCGTGCTAATGCTACTATTACTACTGCAACGACGGCAAGACGACTGCTCCTGTACTAAGGATAACAAGAACAGTATCGATAATCATGCTCCTTTTAATGGTCATGACCATGAACATCCATGAACATGATAATGACTATGGTCATGAACATAATGCTAACATCCAAGCATACCAGCAACATGTTGAACAACAGTTGTTGTCATTATTACATGTTAACACAACAACAATCAGCATCAATAATATTTCTATCATCATTATTACTGCTGTTGTACTTCTGAAACACCTGCTGCTGATGCCGTGGTGACTATTGACAGTACCATGGAGCAGGAGGAGTGATAGTAGCAGTAGCAGTTGCAGTTGCAGTAGCAGTAGCCGTGGCAGCAGCAGTAGCAGTAGCAGTAGCAGCAGCAGCAGTAGCAGCAGCAGTAGTAGCAGTAGTAAGTAGTAGCAGCAGTAGCAGTAGTAGCAGTAGCAGCAGCAGCAGCAGCAGTAGCAGCAGCAGTAGCTTTAGCAGTAGCAGTCGCAGTAGCAGAGATGGTAGTAGTAGTAGTAGTAGTAGTAGTAGTAGTAGTAGTAGTAGTAGTAGTAGTAGTAGTAGTAGTAGTAGTAGTAGTAGTAGTTGTTGTTGTCAGGTAGGCACTTCACGGCATGTTTTACGCTAGCACGTGATGCTGTGCAGATTGCTGGGGTTGCCAAACAGACGGATTCATTTCACTGCGGCCCACATGTTGTATTTCACAAGCGGTATGTGATATTGGCACACTCACCTTCCCGAAGTATGTTGAAACTTGCGAGGAGCATGTTGGTTCTCGACATTGGGGTTCGGCCTGAGTAAATGTGCGAACAGCAGTTGTTCAAGACCCACGACAGACGGAAGCCGATCCCTAGCTTCGCTAGGCAGGAGAGACTGCAACATCCGGAGTGACACGGCAAGCTTAAACCAATCTGCGTGTCTGTGGGTAAGAGTTTGAGCAGCGAAGCCTTGGGACGGCGGCACGGTTGGACAGCCGCAACAACAAGCATGTCATGGACCTGTTTGGAGCAGCAGGGCAGGAAGGAATAGTAGCAATTAGCAGGAGTAGGAGTAGGAGTAGTAGTAGAAATAGTGGTAGGAGTAGTAGTAGGAGCAGTAGTGGGTAGTGGGGTGAGTAGTAAAGTAGGAGCAGTAGTAGTGGTAGGAGTAGCAGCAGTAGCAGGAGTAGGACTGGGAGCAGGAGTAGGAGGAGGAGTAGCAGCTGCAGCAGTCGCAGTGGTGGTCGTGGTGACGAGTCTGAAAGAGTGAGTGAGTGTCGACCTGGAGTGTTTCCGGCCCACGGAAACGGTCCTTGTCGCCTTCTTCGCCCCTCCGCATGCGTCGTCGGGGCTCCAGTGCAGAGTTCAACGCTCCGGGCCCCTCGATCCGAGCCAGGGATTAGGGGAAGGATGTGCCACCCGAACCTCCATGGGCCCGCTCCCCCAAGCCGGAATTGGACACTTGGCAAGACAGCCCACACGGCAGGAACAAAGCTCTTCCCTCGATGATCCCTCACCCAAGTACTAAGCTGGGGACACTGGCTCAGAGAGGCGGGGCATTGGGGGGAGGGGTGCACGCACACACGCACAGCACCGGCAGCGAGACTAAGGGCAAACACATATTCAGCTAATGCCCTTGTGGCTGCATATACTCGAACAGTGTCCCCTTGGCGTGTGGGGCGATGCCTGATGCTGAGGGCATCACCCCTCGACCAAAAGGGGGAGTGGGAGTAGAAGAGAAGGAGCAGCAGCAGCAGCAGTAGCAGTCTCAGCCGCAGTCGCAGTAGTGGTAGTCTCAGCAGCAGGAGCAGCAGTTGCAGTAGCAGCAGTAGCAGCAGCAGCAGTAGTAGAAGTAGTAGTAGCAGTCGCAGTAGTAGTAGCAGTAGTAGCAGTAGCAGTAGCAGTAGCAGTAGCAGTAGCAGTAGCAGTAGTAGTAGTAGTAGTAGCAGTAGTAGTAGTAGTAGTAGTAGGAAAGTAGTAGCGGTACCAGCAGCAGCAAATGGCAGTGCCAGCCACTGCAGCTTCTACTGCGACCAGCTACCGCGACTAATTACATCAACTACTACTGCTGCTGCTGCTACTACTACCACCACTACTGCAACTACTGCTACTACTACTACTACTACTACTACTACTACTACTGGCTACTGACGGCTGCTGCTGCTGCTGCAAAACTACTACTGCTGCTACTGCTGCTACTGCTACTGCTACTGCTACTGCTACTGCTACTGCTACTGCTGCTGCTACTGCTACTGCTGCTGCTGCTGCTACTGCTGCTGCTTCTGCTCCTCCTCCTCCTCCTACTAACCTACTACTACGACTACCAGCAGTAGTAGTAGCAGCAGTAGGAGTAGGAGTAGGAGTAGGAGTAGGAGTAGGAGTAGGAGTAGGAGTAGTAGTAGTAGTAGTAGTAGCAGTAGTAGCAGTACTGCTACTACTACACTACTACTACTGCTGCTACTAGTAGTGTAGTACTAGTATTGCGAACGGACGTCGATGCCTAGTCCAATCGTGGGTATCGCGATATGAGCTATGTAGACAAGTGTCATGACGTTGAGTATCCACAACACAACTCGGGCTCACTTAGTGGACCGAGTAGTGTACCTTGGGGTCACTTAGTGGACCAAGGGTGGAAGAACACAACGTATTCGCATCCGCGTCCAATGCAACATTGGCTCAAGCACGAGCTAAGAGTCAAAGGCGCAAGGCTCAAGAACCTAACTAGCCAAGCTAGCAGGTGATCCTATCAAAGAGTAGCTGAGCTATCCCGTGCACAGACCGATCGACCTTCGGCCGTCGGAAGACAAAGAAGGGTTGAGCGTGCCTGCAAGGGTAACTTCTGGAGAGCAGAGAGGACACACCGTATCTTGGTGGGCAACCACATACTTCAACAACATCAAGCTCTGGTGAGGAGAGCAAACTTGGGTATCAACGATATCGGAACCTCACGCAGGTTATCAGCCGTAGGCTCTGCCTACAGGGACAAAGTTGTCCCTGCTCTACCGCTACTCCAATGGCATCTGAGCCGAAGAAGAACGACGAGGACGGTCTGGTGCGCAAGTGGACACTGAACGATTTGCACAACAGATGTTCTACCAGAGCGAAGTCCAAAAGTTCGAGACGGTTGTGAACCGTTTGATGGCGGAGATTCGAGAGATGAAACAAGAAGACGAAGGTTCCGAGATGCGTATTCAGGAATTGGAACGACAGCGTGATACGGCCCATCTCGCAATGCAGCATATGAATAGCAAGCATCAAGAAATGAAGGCCGAATGCGAGAATTCTATGGCAAAGCTGATGGACGAAGCCAATGCTCAACTACGCCATGATCGTCAGGCAGCTGACGAAATGATCAACTGTTTGCATCGCCGCATCGCGAAAGAGTTGAACTCGTGAAGTACCTCGTTAAGGCAGAATAAACGTCACATGGTGAGGGGTACAGCATGGCCAAAGAGTACGAACGCCTATCGGCAGAGCTTCATGAATGGGCAAGAGAGACTTTACAGTTGCGAGCCGAAGCAGACAGCAACAGGCATGCTTTTCACTCCATGAAGGAGCACCTTCAGCTCATCAAGAACGAGGAATTGGTTGTCGCACAACACATGTCAGATCGTCAATTCGATGCTGCACGCGAACACCTTGTTCTTCGACAACGACTGGCTGAAGAAGAGGAGCATCGCATGATGGCTATGCGGAGGTTAGCACAGGCTGAGGATCAACTTCGGAATGCAGAAGACAATGCGAAGCAATCATTGCCAACGCTGCATGAGGAGCTGAACGAATTGAGAAGGACCCTGAAGCTTCAGGAGGACGTCAACGCGAGGTCACGAAGTGAGCTCGATGCTTACCGTCAAGTTCCCATTCTCGGTTCTCAACAGTCAAGCATACCCATTTCGTCGAGAACTACTGAGTCGGGCTGGGAGTGCGTAGGTAAGGAACGCGTCATATCTTTTCCAGTAGGTTCAGATGTGCGATCCCCCGAAGGTGTATCTCCTACTTTCCGAAGTCCCGCAAACCGTGACAAGGTCGGTGTGGTGGAAGTCACTCACGAACCTGTTCCGTTGGTTGTGGAGGAGACGCCGCCCGAGTGTTTACCACAGTGCGTGCAGGAACCTCTGTCCGGGCGTTCACCGCAGGACAGCAGCAGCTACGGAGCAAATCAGAAGGCACTACAACCTCAGGAAGCGCGCGCGCGCTGTACGTGAACGGCAACTTCGGGAACTACTACAAACGTTGGGAATGACGGGACAAACCTCCTCGTCATCCTCCAGCGCTTCTCGGAATGTCGTAAGCGACCGTGGCGTTGCGTCAGATACTGCAGTTGCAAAGCCTGTGGTGGCAGAATCCAGCGCTCCTGGACATTGTGACGGTACCCTCGATGCTAGAATAGTACCCATGCAAGAAGAACATCAACAGCAACTCGAGGCAATGCGCGTGGAAATGGAACAAGCCCAGAGAGCGGAGCGAAGACTTCGTATTGATCGAGACGAATGGCGGCAAGTTGCAGAAAGTTTCCAGAATCAGGATGATGATCCCGATGGAGAAGAAGAAGGCGGAGATGGTGGAGGTCATGATGATCCTCCAAATCCCGGCAGACACGGCGGAGATCCCTCTCCCGAGCCTGAAGGCGGTGGCGACGATGGCGACCCGCCTCGTAGACCAGGCAAGGGCCCAGATCCAGACCCACCTGATGGAGATGATCCTGACGGAGGAGATGATCCGGAGGTCACCGAGGTGAAAATCTCTCGTCGTGAAGCAGATAAAGTCGTTGTTCCTTCCTTCCCAACGGTGACACACCTGGACA